CTATTTGTTATTTTAGGAATACTTTATATATTCTGGATAATAGTCTCTTCTCATATATATGATTTTCAAATATTTTCTTATGTTCTGTGGGTTGTCATTTCACTCTCTTGATGGTGTCCTTTGATGGAGAAGAGTTTTTAATTATTATTATTATTATTTTTTTTTGTCTTTTTCCGTGTCCGGCAACGGATCGCAACCCTCAGTGTCGCCCCCGTACCGGACCGGGGACCGGCAATGGGATCGCAACCCTCGGTGCCGCTCCCGCGCCTCGCTCAGCCAGTGAGCGGGAACCAGTCCGTATGTGGGATCCGAACCCTCGGGCGGGAGCGCCACCGCGCTTCCCAAGCGGCGCACTATCCAGTGTGCCACCGGGCCGGCCCCAAGAGTTTTTAATTTTTATGAAGTCAAATTAATCTATTTTTGTTGTTGTTGTTGTTCCTTATGCTTTTGTAATCATGTCTAAGAAACCATTGCCAAAGCCAAGATCAGGAAGATTTAAGAAAACACAGCTTTATAGTTTTATAAAAATGTAGTTTTTATAGTTTTAGTTGTTATATTTAAATCCCTGATCCATTTTGACTTATTTCTTTATATGGTGTGAGGTAGAAGTCCAAATTCATTATTTTCCATGTGTATGTCCAATTGTTTCAGCCCTATTTGTTGAACAGATTATTTTCTCCCTATTGAATGGTCTTGGCTCTGGTCAAAAATTAGTTGACCATAGATATATAGGTTTATTCCAAACTCTCAATTCTAGTGCATTGATCTATATGTCTATACATATGCCAGTGCCATGCTGTTTTGATTACCACAGTTTTGCTGTAAGTTTTGAAATAGGGAAGTATTAGTCCTCCAACTTTGCTCCTCTTTTTCATGATTGTTTTGGCTATTCATAGTCTGTTGCAATTCCATATGAATTTTAGGATCAATTTTTCAATTTCTGCCCCCCCCCCAAAATAAAGGGACTTCCAGGAAGATGGCAGACTGGAGGTACCCAGGACATATTCCTCCCACAGAAGAAGATCAAGATGGGCCCACCACCACCACAGCTGCAAATGCCAGATCTGTTGTCTGTTCCCAGAACTGCTGCCCACTGCAGAGCAGCTCCCCACAGAGCAGCAGTCCTGTGGGCTGTTCATCACTGCAGCCATGAACTCCACAGATGCAAGGGAGGCAGCTGCAACCACTGCCACCATTGTTGTCACCCTGAGTTAGCCCCACTGCTGCCAAGGACACTGCAGATGTGAGGAAGATGGCTGCAGCCACTGCTACTAGGTAACCCCACTGCTTCTAAGAACATTGCAATGTGAGGGAGGCAGTTGCAGCCACTGCCGCCACCACAGGGTAATCCCACTGCCACCAAAGACACTGCTGAGGACACCACAGATGTGAGGGTAGTAGTTGCAACTACTGGTACCACTGCTGACCCCACAAGGTAGCCCCTTTGCTTCTGTGGACACTGCAGACACCAGGGAGGCAATTGCAGCCATGACACCACTGTTGCTGCTGTGAAATAACCCTGTTACTGCTGCAGGCACCATAGCTACATAGGCTACAGCTATGGATACTGCAGCCAAGTGGGCACTTGCTACAACTGCCACTCTACAGTCACGGCCATCACTGCACTGCCAGGCAGTCACAATCATCATGCAACTAGCCTGCTGATGCTAGAGCCATTGCTGCCATGCCAGCAATCCACCAAAACCACCTCCACAATCACCATCACTGCAAGGGTGGCCTACTACCACAGCAGCAGCTGCAGCAGCCACTACCACTGTGCAGGCAGACTGCTCACCACTTGACTGCACTGACACAAGGAGGGTCAGCAGAAGAATCCAGGGAATGAGGGTAATATGGGAAGTAACTCTTCTACCAGATGACCAGACGTCAAAGTAGAGATACTAGAAATACAAAACAAACGAGTCCACCTAAAGAATACAATAACTCTCAAGTATGAGACCCCATAGAATAGGAAACCCTCGAAATGACTGAAAAGGAACTCTGAGTAAAAATCTTAGGAAAACTCAATGAGATATAAGAAGACTCATTAGATGACACAGTGAACTGAGAAAAACTATCCAGAATATGAAGGAGGAAATTTACAAAGAAATTACTACTTTAAAAAAGAATGTAACAGAATTCATGAAACTGAAGGAGTCATTCAACAAAATAAAAAACACAACTGAGAGCTTAAGCAGCAGCCTAGAATAAGAAGAAGAAATAATTTCTGATCTGAAGACAGTCTCTTCAAAATAACTCAGGCAGACAAAAAAAAAATTTCAAAAAATGAAGAAAATCTAAAAGAGCTAGTAGACAACTTTCAGTGCACAAATATCCAAATCATGGGTATTCCTGAAGGGGAGGAGAAAGGAAACACATTGAGAACATATTCAATGAAATAATAATGGAAAACTTTCCAGGTATAGGGAGAGACACAGACCTTCAGATTTGGGAGGCTCAGAGATTCCCAAAGATATTTAATCCAAAAAGGTCCCCTCCCAAGTACGTTGTAGTCGAACTGGCAAAACTCAAAGACAGAGAGAATCCTAAAAACAGCAAGAGAAAAACATCAAGTCACCTATAAGGGAGTCCCCATCAGACTAACAGCAGACTTCTCAACAGAAACTCTACAGGCCAGAAAAGAATGGGATGATATATTCAAAATACTAAAAGAAAAAACTGCTAGCCAAGAATAATATACCAAGCAAGGCTATCCTTCAGAAATGAAGAAGTAGTGTATTTCCCAGACAAACAAAAACTACGAGAGTACACCATCACATGACCAGCCCTATAAGAAATCCTCAAGGGAGTCCTGCATCTGGAATCCAAATAACAATAACCACTACCATGAATACACAAAAAAGAACAAAACCCACTGGTAGAAAAAAAATGCAAATGGGAAAGAGAAATAAACCATATTTTACCACTTCCAAGACTGGCTATTATCAAAAAGACTAAGAATAATGAACGCTGGCAAGGATGTGGAGAAAAGGGAACTCTTCTACACTGTTAGTGGGACTGTAAACTAGTGCAGCCATTATGGAAAACAGTACGGAGTGTCCATTACAGAAACAGTATGTTTCTCAAACAACTTCAGATAGAACTACCATACGATCCAACAATCCCGCTTCTGGGTATACACCCAAAGGAATGAAAATCATCATGTCAAAGGGATACCTGCACCCTGATGTTCATTGCAGCTCTATTTACAATAGCCAAGAGTTGGAACTAACCTAAATGTCCATTGTTGGATGAGTGGATAAGGAAAATATAGTATATATATACAATGGAATACTACTCTGCCATAAAAAAAGAATGAAATTCTGCCATTCACAGCAGCATGGATGAACTTAGAGAAAATTATGTTAAGTGAAATAAGCCAGGCACAGAAAGAGAAATGGTGCATGTCTTCACTCATAAGTGGGAGCTAAAATAATAAAAAAATAAATTTTAAAAAAAGATGAAAGAACAATCACAATAATATGTTGAACTTTCAAAAACAGAGAACAGAACTGAAGTTACCAGAGGTGGAAAAAGGGGAGAGGGAGGGGAGTAAGGGAGGAATTGGTAAAGGGCAACGAATAATGATTATATTGTGTAATGTTGAAAGTACTAAGTATCCTGATTTGAGCATCACATATTGCACATGGATATTGATATTCAACTCTGTATCCCACAAGTGTGTACAATCAGCTCTGTTACAATAAAAGAAATCATTTATTATACAGTGTTCAGAAAAAAAAGGATGTTGGGATTTGAAGAAAATTGCATTGAATCTGTAGATCACCTAGGAAAGTACTGTCATTTTTACAATACTAAATCTTCCAATCCATGAACACGGGATGTCTTTCCATTTATTTACATCTTCTTTAATTTCTTTCAGACATGCTTTTTTTTGTTTAGTGTACAAGTCCTGAACCTCCTTGGTTAAATTTATTCCTAAGTATTTTATTTATTTATTTTTGATGTTGTTATCAATGGAATTGCTTTCTTTCTTAACTTCATTTTCAGATTGTTTATTGCTAGTATAGAAAACAACACTTATTTTTGTGTTGTTTGTATTCTGTAACTTTGCTGAATTCATGTATTAGCTTTAGTAGTTTTTTACGAATTTTTAAGGATTTTTCTATATGTAAGGTCATGGCGTCTGTGAATAGAAATAGTGTTACTTCATCCTTTCAATTTAGATGTCTCTTATTTCTTATTTTTGCCTAATTGCTCTGGATAGAACTTCCTGTTCAATGTTGAATGGAAGCAGTAGAAACAGACATTCTTGTTTTGTTCCTGTTTTCAGAGGAAAAACTTCCTTTCACCATTGAGTATGATGTTGGCTGGGGTTTTCATGAATCAAATATTTTTGCCTCTCTCCTATTCCTCTGTCTTTATTTTTTTCTCACATTTTTTTCAGCTTGGTTTTTCCTAGCTTAACCTCTACCTGTCCTTCCTTGGCTGTTAGAATCTATTAAAGGCCTCTGGGGAGGGACTGGCAAGGCAACTGAAGCTACAAATATTCTCCAAAACTCATCAGGGAGTCAGGTTATTTGTGTGCTGTTTGCCCTCTGGGCAAGCTGTGAACTGTTAACAAGTGTGTAGCTGTTTGAGCACTATAAACATGACTTCAAGGAATTATAATCAACAAAAATCAAGGACAAAAAAATGGAAGAAAAAATAAAATTAAAAATAAAACAAGGACAAAGAATATAGAACTATCTACAACTACTGTATCCACTTTGTAACTTTTTTCAGGGATCTACTTTTGGATTTATCGGATGAATTATATAACCCTTAAAGGCAATAACTTCATTGTATTTTTCTCTACTCTTCTCTATCTCACTCACCCCAAACACACACACACACGTACATGCATGCACATTGCAATGTGTGAGACTTCTGATGTGCTACAGATGTTCAGTCTTTAACCTAACCACTTGAAAACCTGGACTCTCCTTTTCCTGGAAACATGATGAGAGAAGCAGATGATCTCAGTGTTAAGAACTCACCTGTCACAGAAATGGTAATTGAGTGGCTTTTAATGAGTCTAGATGAAGAATTTGCAGAACAGCGGTATGACCCACTGTCACTAGGAAGCATTGCTTCAAAGTGTAGGATAAAAACTGCAATATTCTTCCTTTCTTCCCAACTCGTGTGTTGCTGATGTCTATCCCCAAGATGTAAACACTCTGTTCCTTTGAGCTTGCACCAAGTCACATCAGGTCTGCTAGCACAGTATTTCACAGGGCACTCCAGTTTAAAAGGATCTCCTGCTGAGACAGAGTATTCGGATTGTCTCTTAATGTAAAGTTGTACTTCACATGAATTTTCCCCTAAAAGATGAAAACAAAATTAAAATCAAATATGTTCTTCTGGAAGGACCATATATACGTTCTTCAACACTTTCTGCCAAAGATTTTTCAAGCATGATTCTGTAATTTTCCTAGATAACATTTCTAGAAATTAACCTTCACTAGTGGAGTATCTGGTACATATTAGGTCCATAATAAATATTTGTTTAAAAAAATCAAACAAATCATTTAATCCTCACAAAAAATACAATATATGTTATTATGAACCCTGTTTTACAGGTGAGGAAACTGAGGTAATAAAGAACTTTCCTACAGTATATGCCAATAATTAGGAGCATTAGGATTTAAACTCATACTGGTATCCATTTCTCTGTAATTCATTAACCATTACTCTGTATTGCTTCTTGAGCAGTAATCACATTTTCTTTTACCAGCTCTGATATATTCCATTAAGCAAAAGAGAGAAATTTTTGTGAACAACCAGGTCCCTATAATACTTGGCATTAGAAATTTCCTGTACTTATTTTTCCATTGCTTTAATGCTGCCTTGCAATTTTTTACATGAGTTTTTCTGTGTAGGAGACATGCAACTCTAGATAATTGTCTGAGTATAGGATTGTTCTGAGACAACCTGGATTTTTTATGCTTCTCTAAGTAGGAGGAAGAGCAGTGGTTTGCTTCTTTTGGAAATTCTGCATACTAGTCCAACATACTGGAAACTTGCCTCCCTGTGTTTTTGGGAAAAGAGCTTTTTTTCCTGGAAATAGGTCTTCCTATTATCTTCTAAGAATCTCCAGTTAGTAATCGTCAAGTGTATACAAAATCTGTAGCACAGAAATGTTTTTTTTAAATTTTCTATCATTGAATAAGTTATGTTATCACTAACTTATCATGAAAGTATTTACTTTGTAGCCACGACATCTGAAATACAGCTGAGAACCAATATACATGAAAAAGAAACCTTATCTAAGCAGACAGTGTAGATACAGCAAGATCTCAAATGTATCTTATTTAATAAATAATTCGTACAATTCCATTCTCATTTCCTAATTATCCCAGAGGGCATAACTGTGTTATATAATACAGACTAATAATTATGGTTATAATAAGATTAAATTAACAATAAAACTTTAAATTATATTTAATTGCATTCATATTTTGCAACAAAATTATGCAATGTGTTTTACAAATAATTTTATCAGAATCATTAGTTCAGAAAACGTTTGGGCCTCCAAAGGGCAAACTTCCATTACTTAGAATGTACATTCAGGTGGAACCATTCATTTTCTGATAATTGTTGGACTATATTGTCCATTTTTGAGACCTATTTATAAAAGGAACATGAGAAATTGCATGTATTTACTATGAACACTTAAAAACCTTTTTGCATCAGTTGCATCACATAACTGATGTATGTGTGTGTCTGTAAATTGTGGCATATTCTACTGTAAGTCTGACTCCCTGAGCTAGTGAAACAAAACAACTAAAATGGGTAAAGTTTCCCTTTAGTTAGGCACTTTGTGGTAATTTATATTTTTTTATTTTCTCAATAAAGTTAAGGTTAAGCATGTAGTCTTAAGAGTATTTTCTCCTAAAAGAACCGTGGTTGCTAGAGGTGGAAAAGGGGAGGGGAGGGATTGGTTAATGAACTCAAAGAATGATTGCGTATTGTAATGATGAAAAAGCAAACTATCCTGATCTAACCACCACCATACACTGTAAACAATTATTGAAACATTGTACTCCAGATGTGTGTATAATAAATTATCTTAAAAACAAAAACAAAAAACAAATATGGAGAGCTGTAAAAGTTTATTTGTTTTTAATTTTAAGCAGATGAATTATACTTATTGAGAATTAATTTATCAATAAATAAAATTCTGTGATGTATGGTTGGTAAAAAAAAAAAAAAGTATTTTCTCTTTAAGTTCTTTTTCCTTTGCCCTTATAGTTCTTTCTTAGCCTGTCTTCCTCGGTTTTGAACTACTCTTTCTGTCAGCAATACATCCAAACTATCTGCTTCATTAATTTCTCTCACTCATCTTCAAGCATTTTTTTGAATAGATTTACAGTATCATGAGTTAAAATGACATTAGCACATTAGCATAACTGAGATTATAGCCAAAACTCTTTTTTAAAGACAAAGAGGGCTAAGGGCCTTACCTGTGATCACACAGCTAGTTAGATGTTGAATTAGGGGGCAACTTTTGACCCCTGAATTTCCCACACCTCTCTACCTAGAACAATGTTCCATTCTATGTCTATACCCTTGCCAACCTGAATATTATCCTTTTTAGCCATTTCCTAATACCTAATAAACTTTTCACTATAATTCCTGCTCACATCTCATCAACTCCCGCTCAGAATAATTAAAACGATTGAATTTCCAGGGATCAGACTGAGACAAAGGACCCACAGAGAACTTTTAGACCCTCTGAACATTTGTTTTATAACTGCTTTGAGACCTCAAACAAGTTCACTTAAAAACTTCCTAATTCAGTTGCTCCAAAAATTCAGAATAAAATTGAAAGCAAACTGAAAGGTAAATTATGAGAATGAGGTTTTCAAAAAATTGAAGAGAAAGGGTAAGATAATTTACCAAAAGGAAGTGCCTAACAACACAACACCTGGATGTGGTTAGGCTTATGACATTAAAGGCAAGGAGGCCAGAGGCAGAAAGTCCAAGTGAAACCCTGTCTCCAGGGGTCTGTTCCTCTCCCTAAATTTAACAGACTGTCACAGCCTCCCAACTTCCCTTTTCATCTTTTTAGATAAGTCGATAATAGTTTATGGAGCATACGAATCTGTGCTAAAATTGTGAAAAAAAAGTAAGATTATAGACAAAGACTTTTGCCCTCAATGAGCTTGACATTTAATTGGTGAGACAAGATTGATAATAGTTTATGGAGCATACGAATCTGTGCTAAAATTGTGAAAAAAAATAAGATTATAGACAAAGACTTTTGCCCTCAATGAGCTTGACATTTAATTGGTGAGACAAGATTAACTAACAATGAAGCCACTTTTCTGGAATAAACTTAGTATTTATCACTCTTTTTGTTTTTTCTTTAGGTTTACCTGAAATGAAAGCAAGGCTCAAAGGGACCTTGTATGCTAGTTGTTAGTGGGAATAAGAATAAATAAAACATAATTCCTGCCTTTGTGGAGCTTACTTTCTAATGGGAATAAAGATGCACGACAAAATGGGAGAGTGAAGTAATGCTGTGAAGAGGGACAAACTACTGTGAATGGGTGTGCAGAGGATTAACATCAGCTGGAGCAATTGGGGAAAGAAAGGCTGCATGGAAAGGTTATATTTGAGCTGAACCTCAGTAAATGAGTAGTCCTTTGAAAATCAGAGCAGTGAATGGGACAGGGAGGTATTTTAAGACTGAGGAAATGGAAGGGCAAAGGAAGTGTCCAGGAATCTTATGGCAGATTCAGGGAACTGATACACAGTTGGATCATGGTTTTCTGAAATAGTTTCATGGAAATCACCAGTTGGCTCAGAACAAATGGAATAAGTATTAGATGGGGAAAATTTTAAATTTCTTATCCACCATGAGAAAATAGAGTGCCTAATTTGGGAGCAAGGGGACATATTTATAAAGGGCATGGACATAGCTAAAAATGAGAGTATTCATTTAAAGATAGCTATTTCAGTGCTAACACAATGTGTGAACTTGAGATAGCCACTCAGTCTCTCCAGTCCTCAGTTTCTTCAAAAGAGGATGAAAGGAATGAACTACAAAAATAGGAATGCTGTTTTTAAAAAATTTTTATTTTATCTATTTTTAGCCTTTTTATTATTATTTTTTACATTCTAAGATGTTGTTGCGGAGCAGTGGGAGGGGGCGAGGGTAGGGACTAGGGGAATGGAGGTAGGATTGGGGGTGGGGCTGGCCCATGGCTGGCTTCTTGCTGGCCTGGTTGTGGAAGAGTGGCGGACGTGGCTGAGGCCTGTGGGCCACCCACTAGTCCGGCTCTGGGAGCCCAGGGCATTTCCAGCAGCAGCTCAGTCATCACTAGGCTTGATGTGAATGTCAGGGGGTGTGGCTAAGGCACTCGACTCCCTGCCTCTTGGCTTGGGAGCCTGGGGGGCTTCTGTGGAGGCTCAGTCATCACAGGGCTGGATGCAAACATCAGAGAGGCATGTCTGAGGCCCTTAGACCCCCCACCCTTGCTCAGGAGCTTGGGGGACTTCCAGCTCTTCTAGGTTTTACAGGTGTTCTTTTGGGGTGTTAGACCTTCACTGGTTAATATCAGAACTTTGTCTCTGATCTGTGGGTTTTTTGTGTTTTCTTTCACTTCTATGTTGGATTATTCGCTATTCCTGCCACTTAAACTCTGCACTGGAACTAATTTGTTGCCCTTTGCTTACTTCTAAAATGGGGAAACTTCCTGTGGGGACCAGCACTTGAGCCCAGTGACTGAGCTAATTAGCCATTTTGCTGCTGATTCTCTGGAGAAGCCTTTTTGCACAGCTCAGGTTTCAATTGCTGACCTTCTAAGCACTTCCGGGCCTTGAGAGGTCTGATACACCTGGGTTGTGTGGAAACTGCTCTGGGCCTGAGTCTTTTCAGCAAACTGCACCCCCTGCAGTTCTATATTCCTGACCTGTCAACACTGAGTGGGCCTGTGCTGACTGGAGGGCAGATCAGCTGTCCATGCTGTGCCCCAGTGTTCCTTCAGTGGGCCCATCTCCCCGTCTCCTGCACTCCAAACACTTCCTATGGGACAGGCCATGTACTGGTTCCTTGCAATGACTCACTGGCCTTTGAGTGGCTCCTTTTTCCAGTTGTCTGTGGCCCCTTGCTCCTATGTGGGTCCACAGGAACCTTGTCAGTGGTCTTGCTAACCTGGGGGCCATCAAGGCCCTCCTCTCCCCCGCAGCCTCTAAGCAACTTCACACAAAGGGGACAGCTATAGTTTTTACCTCTCTTGCTCCATGTGCTCACCAGGGCCAACCTTGAAATGGCCAGGGATCGAAATGGTTGGAGNTGTTGCCCTTTGCTTACTTCTAAAATGGGGAAACTTCCTGTGGGGACCAGCACTTGAGCCCTGTGACTGAGCTAATTAGCCATTTTGCTGCTGATTCTCTGGAGAAGCCTTTTTGCACAGCTCAGGTTTCAACTGCTGACCTTTTAAGCACTTCTGACACAGCTCAGGTTTCAATTGCTGACCTTCTAAGCACTTCCGGGCCTTGAGAGGTCTGATACACCTGGGTTGTGTGGAAACTGCTCTGGGCCTGAGTCTTTTCAGCAAACTGCACCCCCTGCAGTTCTATATTCCTGACCTGTCAACACTGAGTGGGCCTGTGCTGACTGGAGAGCAGATCAGCTGTCCATGCTGTGCCCCAGTGTTCCTTCAGTGGGCCCATCTCCCTGTCTCCTGCACTCCAAACACTTCCTATGGGGCAGGCCATGTGCTGGTTCCTTGCAATGACTCACTGGCCTTTGAGTGGCTCCTTTTTCCAGTTGTCTGAGGCCCCTTGCTCCTATGTGGGTCCACAGGAACCTTGTCAGTGGTCTTGCTAACCTGGGGGCCATCAAGGCCCTCCTCTCCCCTGCAGCCTCTAAGCAACTTCACACAAAGGGGACAGCTATAGTTTTTACCTTTCTTGCTCCATGTGCTCACCAGGGCCAACCTTGAAATGGCCAGGGATCGAAATGGTTGGAGTGGTCCTTTCTTTCTCTCATTGGGGCTTCTGCCCTCATGAGCTCAGTATGTCCCTCCTCCTCTTCTGCCGAGCTCTAGCGACCTCAGCTTGGCAGTCTTTGCTTTTCAGTAGTTGTAAATTGGTCAGTTGTGGGAGACAGTGATGCTGGGGACCATCTATTCTGCTATCTCGATTCTCTCTCCTATCTCAAAAATAGGAATGTTTTACCTACCACTCCCCCCCCAAACACACACAACTTCACCTCCCTCAATGATGACTGACACTATGAAACCACTTCTAGTCTGCAATTTCTATTTCTATTACAATATGTTACTTTCCATTTAGCCATAGGGCTGTTACCTGATGCTAGTAGCACAATTAAAAATCCTTTCCAGTTCCAGTATTCTGGGACTATATCCTTGGGTGATGAAAAGAGCCAACTATTAGTACTGACCACAACACTGACTTGCAATGGGATTATGGAAACATCATTGTGGTTCCTGAATATTCTTAACAGCAGGATAAGGATTACTGATGGATCACATTGGCTGGCACAGGAATTTTTCTTGAATGGAGAAATGAATAATGAATACAGCAGAGCAAGCAGCCACGAAAAATCAAGAGTACTCCTTTTATGCACAAACAAGGTTTTGTATTTCCTCTCTCTGAGGGACTAAAAGTGATGTTTGTTGTGCAAGGCTAAATGACACAATTCTAATTTTCCATCTGACAGGGATGTTGACAATTTTTTTCTACCTGTCCTAAATCACACAACTCCATCTGTGACACTGAGAATACACAAAGCTATCCTCAAGGGATCTGTCTTATCAAACATTTTTTGAAGAGGGATGACAATCATAGTTGCTTTTGGCTGTGACTTATCCACCAACTATCAGTTATTTTTGTTCCTGCTGTTATCGTTCCTGCTGTTTTTCTCAAACATACATATCTGACGGTAAGAAATTTTCAACGCTAAAAATAATTAAAATAGATACATGCGGTAAAAGGATAAAATCTCTACCACTCTCAGGCTCTTATATGATGAAAAATCCCTTTTTAAGTCACTATATGTTTTGGAAGCCCCTCATTTTAAAAATTTTTGTGAAAGCCACTAGTGTATTCTTATAGTGTGTATATTCCATGATTAGGTGGTCGCTAGCATATTTGAGGTTCAAAGTGCTTCATTTTGAACAACTCCTTCCTCTATATGGAAAAATATTTTCAGAAATAATGGAATGAAACAAACAAAAAATGGCCAGAAATGAAATATAGAGTGAATATTTCCTTGTATTGAACTTTATATATAAAATCATGAAAGTTAAAAAATATAAACATAGTATTAGAACACAAAAAGGGAAAAATGCACAGCTATTTATTCGATAATTTTTATATCTACATAAACAGTGTGAACTTCGATCTTTTAGTTATGGTCTGATGCAGTAGTTTATATAAACAATTGTTCAGTAAGTAAAAGTGAATTTTATTAAAACTGAAATCCTGCAAAGATACAATTTAGTCAACTACTAAATTGTACTACTAATGTAAAGTATTATTTTCTAGATTTATTCTTTAGTTTTAAAACAATTAACACAATAAAGAGAATACATTTCAATTGTAAGGATATCAATCAATAAAACATTTT